GTAGAATGTTTAAAACATGTTCAGTGTCTGAGCCATAACAACTACACTTTCTCACTTTTCAGTTACATTGCTATATGCCTTCTAGATCTTCTATGTTCACCACTCTACTCAGGCCACAATCACCAAATCCACCAATGAACAACTGCTTAGAAACAAAAGATGTTTCTCGTTTGTTCTCACACTTGACTTCCTTGAAGCATTTATTTGCCTGTTAAAAGTTTGTTCTTTCCTAAAACTTCCTCCCTCGGATTTCTTGGTTTCAAACTCTGGGTACTCTTATGGAGTACTTTTTCCCTTTATGGAGTCCATAAATGATTGACATACTTTAGGCTCAGACCTTACCATTATATACTCACCCTAGTCAATCAGTCTTTTGGGGGGTTGGGTAAGGGGGACAGATGTGGGGGAACAGCGGGCCTCAAATTATTAAGAACTCTCCTACTAAACAAAAAGTTGGTAGTTAAAACCTATTCAGAGGTGACTTTGAAGAAATGCCTGCTGATCTGGTTCCAAAAGGTCGCCACATTAAAAATCCTATGAAGCAGAACACTGCACATATGGAATTGCCATGACTCAACTTGGCAACTGGTTTGGGTTTGATTGAGACAATCTATTTTGATGATTCTTAACTCCACACTTCATGATTCATAAATCTATGAGATTTTTATATCTTACTGCTTATTATATCCCTTATCCTCCAAATACCTCCAGAAAAAAACTATAAATATGAATTCAAGTATTTCTAAACCCGTTCTTGCTAGTTTATTCCCACTACCACTCTCCTGGTTGAGATCCTCATCTTCTTTAAACTGAACTCCTTTAATAAACTAATTTAGGGACATGGGTTTTTGTTTTGTTTTATTTTTGTGGCAAAATACAAGCCAATTTTTTTTTTACTATTTCAACCAAGCTTAAGTGCATAACTCAGCAAATTCAGTGACTCATCACATCCACCGTGTTGTGTAACCATCACTACTATCTACTCACCAAGAGTTTCATCAATCCAAAATGAAGCCCAGAATCCCTTCAGAACCCCTCTCCTCTCTATCCTCTGACAACTACTGATTAACTTGCCTTTAGAGACATTTCTCAGTCTAGAGATTTCTATGTGGCATCTACAGTATATATATATTTTCGAGTTTGGCTTATTTCACATAGCATATATTATTATCAGGGTTCATCCACACATTTTGTTTATCCAATACTCTACTGATGGAACACTTCAGTTGTCTCCACACCTTTGGTTACTGTGGAAAATGCTGCAATAGATAATGGTGTACAAATACCTGTTTGAGTCTTTTGTTTTCAGTCTTTTGGTTACATAAGGTAGCTTTTAAAAAGTTCATCGGAAAAATTGGAATTGGAAGATTATAGAATTTTCCACAAACCTTTTAAAGCTCCCTGATACGGCCACTAGTGTAACTGCTGAATCAAATAACAATTCATTATTAATTTTTTGAGAAGCTGCCACTTTTACACAGTGATTGTACAACTTCACAATCCCACCAGCAGTGAATGAGTGTCCCATTTCCCACATCCTTACCAACAATTGTTAGGTTGTTGTCGGTTTTTATTTATTTATTTACTTCGGGGGGCTGGGGTGGGTGGGTGGTAACAGCTATCCTAGTGGGTGTGAAATGGTATGATACAATGATTTTGATTTGAATTCCCCTAGTGACTAATGAAGGATTCCTGGTGGCAAAATGGTTATGTGCTTAAGCTACCAACAAAATAAAAATCAACATCCATCTACATCACCATGGGAGAAAGTTCTAGTCAGTTTTGCTCATACAAATTATAGAACACAGGGAATCCAGGACAGATGATCCTTGCAGGACCAGTGGTGAGAGTGGCAATACCAGAGGGTGGAGGGAGGGTGGGGTAGAAAGGGGGAACCGATGACAAGGATCTACATATAACCCCCTCCTTGGGGGACGGACAACAGAAAAGTGGGTGAAGAGAGGGAAAGGTCAGACAGTGTAAGATATGACAAAATAATAATTTAAAAATTATCAAGGGTTCATGAGGGAGGAGGGAGTGGGGAGGGAGGGGGAACAAAAATGAGGAGCTGATACCAAGGGCTTAAGTAGAAAGAAAATGTTTTGAGAATGATGAGGGCAACAAATGTACAAATGTGCTTGACATACAATGGATGTATGTATGGATTGTGATAATAATTGTATGTGCCCCCAATAAAAAATTTTTTTAAAAAATTATAGAAAACACTAAGGGGCAGTTCTGAAGCCCTGGTGGCGTAGTGGGCTAAGCACTGGTTCTAACAGAAAGGTCAGCAGTTTGAAACCACCAGCCACTCCATGGTAGAAAAAGAGGCTTCCTACTCCAGTAAATAGTCTTGGAAATCCACTGGGGCTGTGGTATCGGGTCACCATGAGTGGGAATACACTCAATGGCCGTGTATTTGGTTTTAGTTTGGAAGAGCCAGTTCTACTCTGTCACATGAGATCCTTAAGAGTAAAAAATCGGCCCAATGGTACCTAATAACAAGAAAGACAAATGGCATTAAACTTCTTTTCATGTCTGTTGGCCATTTGCCTATCTTCTTTGCAGCAATGTCTCTCTAAGTCCCTTGATCATTTTTCCACTGGGTGGTAAATTTGATGTTAAGCTTGGATTATGACATGTCTCATTATGGATCTCTTTGGGTTTTCTTATTTTCAGTTAATTGAACTTCTTGGTTTTGCAGATTCTTGTCCTTTATTTCTTCAAATATCTTTTCTGTCCCATACTCTCATTCTGGAATTCCCATGATACATACATCAGTTCTCGTTGGTATTCCACGATTCCAATAAGCTTTGCTCAATTTTCCTTTAATTCTTTCTTTTTTTGGTCTTTAAATACAATAATTGCATTCATTGCTTTATCTTCTAGTTTACTGACTTTTTCCCCCCTACCAACTCAAATATGTTCAGTCCCTTATTATTGATTTGTCATTTCAAACATTTTATTTTTGAGTTCTAATGTTTTTTTTATTATACCATCTCTTTGTTGAAATTCTCATTTTGATCCTGTATTATATTCCTCTTATCTTCTAGTTCATTTTTTTTAAAGTTTTTAAGCCTATTTAACATTGTTGTTTCAAAGTCTTCTAATCTATTCAATACCCAAGGTTTCTTAGGGACAAAATCCTAGCACAAATTAAAATTACATGAGGAGGTTTTGTTGTTGTTTTCCCAAAGTATACATACCCCCAGAGATATAGAGAGTCAAAATCTTTGGACTGGAATGATGTCATGCAAAATGGTAGAATAGGAACCTCTAGAGTTCAGCCAGTGTACCTAGACAACAGTTGAACTTGAACAAGCAATTAATACCAATTCTTTAGGAACTTGGGAACCTGCTCAGACAGTAAACGAACAAACGTCACATGAAGGAAAAGGTGGCTGATCTTTGGGGGAGCTCTGTTTACCTGCTGACTACAAACTTCTCCCCACGTCATCCCCATTCCTGATCCTCGTCCTAAGAGACTGCAAGTTAAAAAAAAATTGAAAAAATCCATCTGCTTAGTGACTTCCCCTGAAATATTTTGCAAAAAATTTGCTAAGACATGTATTGACAATCAGGGGCTCCATCCTACAGCCTGTGACCAACTAGTGTGTTGAAAAAACAAAGAGCAAAATATAGACTATATCTGATTTTCCCATTCCTTAAGGATTGCTCGTTACTCAATACGCTATTTTTAAAGTATATCTTCCCATAACACATTTCGCTAAAAAGAAGAGAACAGGTTAAAAAAAGCGTGCTGGGCCTTCACACAGCTGCCACTGGGAGAAGGCACTACACCAAAAGGGCCCAAACCACCGCAATTACCCACACCCTTCTCTCCCAGGGCACACGTTCTTCAACCCACCGGTATAAACTGCAGCCTCATACCCTGAAAGAAACACGCCCCCACTCCCCACATGAGACAGTCACTCCATGAACACGGCTGCCGTCCTAAAGTGGTGTAGTTGGCTGCCTCTTTCAGCTTCCAAAGCTGCTAGGTAAGATTGTTATGGTATATATACACTGCCCTAGTTCTCTAACAGAGGACTTAAGTTTGTAACGGTACTTTAACTTGGACTATTTCCTGCTCTGGTTATTGTTTTGATTCACCCAAATTTTAAAATCCAGGACTATTCTAGTTTTTTAAAATCCAGGACGATTCTAGTTTTTCAGCCATGACTAAACCAGGACGGACTGGTATGAAGCCTGGCGGAGGGTCAACAATACAGCTGGATGCTCTAAAAAGGGAGAGCAAGCATAGTCCGCGCCATGCAGATGAATACTTGAGGAGCCAGCAGGAGTAGGGGACCCAGATTACCTGCTTTTGGCTGCATCAGACATCCTCTTGATGCCAAGAGCTAAAATTCACAGGCTAGAGGGGCCACTTGGCAGAAGCTCAGGAGACCCTGTGCAAGTCTTCTCACTGGCGATGCAAGCCCAGCAAGGCCACTCACACGCACCACTGAGAATGGTGGCTGGCGCGCGCGCACAGCTGTGAGCAGCGGAGACTGCGGTCCTGCTCGGAAGTTGTCCCGACACACAAGCTGCAGCCTATCTCCTGAACATTAACCTGCTACTTACTTAGAAAACTACATAACTGCGAGTATAGTCTATAAATTCTAGATGGCCATCCAATGAATTATCAAACCCAACAGAGAAGTATAGAGTATTGCATGGGCATGGCCGGTGTCAGAAATGGTGATGCGGTTGGAACGGAGGTATGTCTGACCTCTGACTGATAGCAACTAGCTTTGTGCTGATCCTGATTCTTGTCCTGTGGGAAACTAGACAAGTTTTGACAATACTAGGTTACAGTTCTGTTCCTTAAGAACAGATAGAACGCAGTTTAATAACACCTCCAGGAACTAATAAAAGTACCTAGAACATAAAAAGCATTCACTGTATGATGGTTATATGTATGCATGTATACGTAACACCACAGATAAACTAAAGCGCTGAATAAATAGTAACAACAAATAAAAGCAAAAAAACCATACCTAACTGGAGTCTGTGGTGGGATCATATGCGCCTCTTCACTAGGCTTCGCTTTTCGGGGTGTTCGTTGCATTTCAAAACTAAATAGCAATCAGTAAAGTCATTTAGTATTGAAAATTTACAATATGTATTCTATTAGTCAAAGAAGCAATGTAATATCTTTGATTGTCTTATAACTATCACATAAAGTAATCAAATAATAAAGTGGTAGGAAAAAGGACACCTCAAAGCTTAAATGAATTTTACTTTTCATCACTATTTTTAAGTGGGGGTATTTTTATTTTTAAATGTAGATTATGACAAACAAGCAGACCAATCTTTAAGAATTCTATTACTACCCAAATTGGTCAGTATTAAAAAATATCAAAGCTCATTTTTTAATGAACCATTGCCTTCCAAAAAATATATTGGCAATTAAAGTAGTCAATTTTAATTGTTTAATTTCTAAATTACATATTTTTAGTTATATAATAGATTCCATACTAGTCATACAATTACTACTTATTTGCTCACTAACTTTATGTTTGATATTTACTGTCAACTATTCCTAGGTTAGCCAATCATTGATAATTTAAGAGAAAATACTGTTGTTTTAACTTAAAAAAAAAGGATGAGAAAAAAGAGACCTTGGCTTTAGCAACCTAGTTATTTCAGTAATCTTTTTTGGTGTATATTTTACAAACCATATTCAGATAATTCAGAAAAAACATCATTGTTAGAGAAGACAATTTTAATTCCCTTTTTTATTAAATTGTATGCTGAAAATACTTTTTGACCATTCCTTTTCTTATTACTAGCTTTACATAGAAGCATTCGAAGGTAATTTATTATGAGTGATTATTGAAGTACACTAAGTTAAATGAAAACTTATTTAACCAATCTAAATCAAAGCCTACCTATCAAAAGCACATCAACATATAAAGATGTATCATGTATAATACCTGTCGATATGATTAGTCTGAAGAGTTTTGTCATGTTCCAAAAATAATCTTGCATCTAGATCTTTGTTTTTGAGGTAAACTTCTTCATATTGCTTAAAGAGACTTTCAACCTCAAAAGAAAAAACAACAACAATTATCCTTTTCGTGTCATTCTAGCTCTCAGTAAACAGAAACACAGACTTCATTACAGAATTTTTGTATGTGTTTAATTTTACAATATACACTGAACTCACATACAATATACGACCTTATTTTTTCAAATAAGTTTACTTTTCCAATACTATTTTTCTATTTTGTGCATGTATCCTATTTATTATAATTTTGGGTAGACAAAGAACATGAATGCTACAAACAGTATTTAAAGTGGAAATAGTTATTATTAGTAACTATACATTGATCTATTTTTAAATTGTTGAATTTCTGCAAACTTGTTGCAAAGTTTTCATTACTTGGGAAGACATCCACTTAAGGTTTGTTAAAAATTTGACATTAGCACTCACCTCAAAATCATTCTTTTTTATATTTATTATATTTTTTATTATTAAAAGATCATTTTATTGGGGGCTCTTACAATCTTATTAGAATCCATACACCAACTGTATCAGGCATATTTGTACATATGTTGCCGCCCATCTTTTTCTAGACATTTGCTTTCTATTGAGTCCCTGGTATCAGCTCCTCTCCCCGCCCCCACCCCCCATGGCCCCTTGGTAGATCAGAAATTATTATTATTTTCATATCTCACAGCAACTGCTGTCTCCCTTCCCCATGGTTTCTGTTGTTGCTCCCCCTGGAGGGTGTGTGTGGTTATTGCGATCGTTCTCCCTTCCTCCCCTCCACTGCCCGTTCCCCCACTCTTCTGGCATCACTATTCTCAGTCCTGTTCCTGGATTCCTCCTGTCGTGAGCTCATCTCTTATCTATACCTGTGTACATGCTCTGGTCTAGTCCAAAGTGAGCAGCACTGGGGTCAGGATAGTGGGGAGTAAGGAAGAGCACCCTAATACAACTAAAACAAGTGTATCATTGAAAGAACTAATCACAGAGATATGTTTAAACATGTTTAAACATGTTTTGTTTGGAAGAAACCCATGTATGTATGAAATGGAACCTTAGCAGTAATAATTTTTCTGTTTACTTACATATTAGGCAGAATGGTCATTCATACTTGAATTAGTGGAATCGTTGTCCCTACCCTACCTTATCAGTTAATATCAAATCAATTACAACTCATGGCAACCTTGTGTGTACTCAAGTAGAATTACGCTAGCTAGAGTTTTCAATGGCTAATTTTTTTTTCCTTTTAATAGATCACCAGGTCTTTCTTCTAAGATGCCTCTGTATGGACTCAGCCTCCTATCTTTAATTTAACAGCTACGAAATATGTTAACTACTCATACTATCCAAGGGACTCCCTGCCCTTCTGTGGTGAGATACTAATTATTAATCATATCTTAATTGGCAGCTATTAGTAATATACAAAATACAAGAAAGAGAAAACAGAAAATTTTAAAGATTTCATTAAAATTGAGTCCATTTTAAAGGAAAAACTAATACAAATGTATGAGTCTTTGTGAACAGCACATATTTTGTTACAGAAGATGGTAACAAGATGAACACATCTGTTGCCTTCCTGTCTTCTTCCAGCTGTGTTCCACCACTCTCCTGTATCTCTTCCTGAACAGATCTACTCTCACGTATCACTGTACCTTTGAATTTTTTATTTCACACCCTTTGACTCAGCTCGAAACTCTATTGTTCTCAAGCACGTGTTTATAAAACCGATCTGACCCCTTTGGGTTAGGTGGCTATCCTCTGAGATCAAAGTGTCCTCTGCACACTCCTATCAGATGACGAGACCCATTCATAAGTGTGCCTTTAAATCAAATTTGCAGAAAGTTGAACATTGTAGATACGATTATAGCCTGACTTTAGTACAAGAAAGCAGCCCTGGTGGTGTAATGGGTTATCCACTGGACTGCCAACTCAAAGATCAGTAGTCTGAAATGATCAGCCACTCCAAAAGAGAAAGAGCAGGCATTCTGCTGTCATAATGATTGACAGCCTCGGAAACCCACAAGGGCACTTCAGCCTGTCCCACACTGTCCCTGTGAGTCGAAATGACTTGATGGCAGTGAGTGTGGTTTGTTTTTTGCACAAGAAAAGATTCAAAGCCTTTGTAATGATTTAAGAGCTGCACACGAAGCAAGCCAAGGTAACTGGGATAAAGAATTTATTGAGTTGGAGTTAATCATTTAAAAGTGAGGATAAATTTATATAACATGAAAGGGCAAGCTTGCGATGCCCATAAATTGTAGGGTAAACTGCAATTTCCAATGCAAATTACAAAATACTTCTTCATGCATTCTCTATTCAAAAAGTTCAGGATTTTTTATAGCTATGGCGCCTACAGTGCTTAATCATTAACTAAAAGACTGGTGGTTCAACCACATCCAGAGGCACCTCAGAAGACAAGCCTGGTGATGATATCTTTCCAAAAGGTTACTGCTTCAAACCTGAGACAAGTTCTACTGTGCACACATGGTGTCGTCAGACGGTGGACCAACTTAACAGCACTAACAACAATATATAAGTTTCTTTCACAACAATTTTAGGTAGCCAACATTCCTTTTGGTGGCTTAAGATAATGCTTAATATATAGCAAAGTGATCTTGAGAATTTTATACAACTATTTCCTCTTCTTAAAAGCCCACCCAAATATTAAGATTTTAATTAAATTTTCTTTCAGCTTACCTCTGGAAGTCCATTAGAAGCTACAGTTCCAAGAGAATTGATAAAAGGTATAAAATTTTTGAAGTAAACATTTTTCACCTGAAAAAGATAGTTAAAAATGTAATTCCTACCATATATTAACACTATAATGGCAATGTCAATGGACATATTTTGATTAATAATACAAGCTAGTGATATTTGCAATTAACTCAATTATTTACTTTTTAATTTACAATGGAAATGAAATTGGGACTTGTTAATGAAATGTAACTCAAGTAAAGGAAATCCACTGAGACCAGCTTCAACAGTTTAAACACGTCATAGAAAGCTGGGGCACTCAGAGAGATGTGTCAGCGTGATCAGAGTTGCACAACTGGACACGGCAGAGGCAGGATTAAAACCGAGAAGGCCCACCACCAAAGCCAAAGCTCTTTTCCTTTCTCTACATTTTCTCTGAATTCTCCCCAGAGGAGAGCTCTGGTCTATTTCATACACTTTCTGTGTGCTACCAAAATAGTAATTCCCAATTCAACTTTCAGCAGCTTAAAAAAATTATTTTCTTTTAACAACAGTCAACACACAAAAATATTGTTGTCTAATTAATTTCAAAGGCAATTAAAACATTTTATGGAATTGTACAGGTTTACACCAAAGCACCATATAGTTAACATGAATAATACAGAACACCCAAGAAAATGTACAATTGTCTTCCTGCTTATTCTACACTTACAATGTGTTATGGAAGCTAGAACTTATATTTAACTTCCTTTTATAGTGGACATAATTTACCATCAGTTATTATCGTCTACTTAGCAAATAATTTTTAAGAATTAAGTCACTAAAATATTAATTTTCCATTCAAGTAAAATTCCTACAGGTTCAAATTGTTTAAGGTGATAACTTTAGCTAATAAATTAGTATGATTATCCAATAATTATATAACCATGAAAGCTCTATGCAAACAATCAAATGTTAATACCTTTCAAATCATGATTATACAGATCCAAAATTAATGAGTTCTTTAAAATTAAAATAAGAATTTCTTTATTCCTAATCTTCAAAGTAAAATTTTATAAGTAGTTATGAAATCTAGAGAATTCTAGAAACTACTCCTACTCACTCGTTGGATGAACTAAGAAGTATGTCAAGTACATGGATTTGTTTCTTAGTCAAGAAAACGTATGGTTAATATAAGTGTGTCTACATATATATGCACAAACATTCACATACACATATATTAATTGCTGAAATTAGCTAAAACTGTAGTGCTAAAACCAAATACCTTGACCAATTATTTTAATATTTCTTACACTTGACTTTGAGACTATACTCCAATTCGAGTTCACGGGTTACTTTCAAAGAAGCAGCTGCAGCAGTTCATTCTGGTGAGCAGTGAATTGTGGAGAACACAAAGCTCTATGACAGTAACAGCACAGGACAGGGATGTGGCAGCTAAAGCCTCAGGACTAATCTAGCCTTTGCTATTCATGAGTGATCAGTACCTTACAAGTACACTACTTGTGTAATTCCTGCCAGTTTCAACATTCCAGAGTCTAGGAATAATTAGAAATCCCGGGATCCTCGTACGTGCTCTGTACCAGCCATTCGGATCAGTGCATACATGGAAGGTGAAAGGGCTTACCGAAGGCTGTACAAAATACGATTTTGCTTTCAGTTCTCACTAAACCAAAATGGTAGATTTTATTAGCAGGGTGCTTGTAAACACAGGGAGTTCATAGTAAACCTCAGAATAATTAAAAAAATATATATATATATATATAGGGGAGGGGTGGGGAGGGCGGTGTATTTCCTGACAGCACTTCCTTCCATGGATCCTCAGTAAATGGAACTGTCTATACAAAAAACCACACAATATACTTGAAAACTACTTCTGTATGATTTCAGTGAGCCCAGAGTGAAGGATCTACTATTTAAAATCAAAACAAATGAATGTGAAAATGATCCCTCCCGACCCCAGCCCCAACTATCTGGTTATTGCAAGAATTGGCAGTAATTACAAAGTGTATACACTGCTAGGTGAAACTTACATCCAAATCTACTTAAAAAGTTCTTAACAAGTCATTCTGTTAAATTACCTCTTCGATGTTACATTCGTGTTCTTTACAGAGCAGTTCGATAATTCTGGTATCATTCTCTAGTTGTCTTACTGTTCGGGCACTTCTGTTCTGCCCTCGTCTTGGTGTTCGAGGTGAACCATGCAGAGGTAGCACAGCTGTTTCTGTAAAGATGGCAAGTCAGATAAGACAACTGCACACCAAGTGGTTGTGTTAATTAATGCCTTTGAGTTGTTCCAATGATGCAACCATGTACAACAGAATGTACAACGGGGCATCTTTATAATCATGTTGACGTTTGAGCCCACTCTGTGGCATCAAAATTATTAAGTAGGAAGGTCGAAAATAATTTGGGTGAAATCATGTAAAAGCGAACAAACAACAACAACAACAACAAATAATTTTGTTAACATTCGTCTGTTTTCACCGGTGGCTATGCAGTCAACTCCAGTTCACAGAACCCGAGCGTCAGAGTAGAACTGTTTAACGCAAACATATTTTCTTTCTATGTGGTAAAAATATGCCACCTCAACAATTTTAACATGTACAAGGGACATTTTAAAAATCTATGGAAAATAGATTTTTAAAACAATGGAATTTTCCCACAAACATTTTGAACCCTCTGGTATATAGTTCACCGAATTGAATATATTCTTCATGTTGTGCAGTTCTTTACAACAGCATCCCACCAGTACCCACCTCCACGCAAAAATTCCCCTTTCCTCCTCCTTCCCAATCCTGGAAATTACTAATAATCTTGGTGTCCCCCTAAACCATGGTCCTGAGTTCCCACGCCCACCTTCAAGGTGTCTGGTTATGTTAAAGAAGTTTTCATAACTTTACTCTCTATATACAGAGGAAAAACTTTTAAGAGTCTTAAGAGCACATTAAACCAACCAAGTTGTGAACCATACATAGAATGATTCAGCCAGTCTATAAGTAAAAAAATTAATTACCTTTATAAAATAAGTGGAAATCTGAACATTATTTGAACGTATTTGATAATCACCATTGATTTGTAGGTGTGATATTAGCACTGTGGTTATGTTGTTTTAAAGAATCTTTCAGACTCATGGGAAAAAAGTAAGGATGACATGGCATATAAAATTATACTTCAAAATAGCATAGCTGGGAGGGGGGACAGTATACAGGGTTATACACTAACTATACAGTATCAAAGAAAACTAAGGGATAAGCACATGGAGGTTTACAATACTACTGCTTATATTTTTATTCATTTTCAATTCTCCATGAAAAGTTTAAATGAAAAGATTAGCATAGTTAGTTAACACCTCATCCTGGTGTCCATTTAACATAATATTTAGAGATTAAAAAGATTTGAATTATCAAAATTAAAAATTCTTGCCAATCTAAAATCCTACATCAGTTATTAAACTGATAGCACTGAAAAAAGTTGAAGGTACATTGAATTATTTTAAGTCGTGAAAAAATATTAAGCTTATTTATTGTTATCTGTATATAATTTTTCTATTTCCCCTCTGCTTTGCATTTGGCTTCTGCTAAATGATTTGACATCTCTGACAAACCAACTTAATAAATTTTAAAAATTCTACTCCAGACTTGATTTCTCGATTAATAATTAATTAATCATTCGCAAAGACTTATTAGACTTGTCTTTTTCATTACTTCAACACATAAAGACTTGGGTATTTGATTGATGTTCTCTGTTATCTTTAATTATATTTTATAAACCCCATAACTTCAGGAGCAAATAATGGAATGATATATGCATTAACTCCCAGTTAATTATAAATTAAAAACCAAACAAAAAGAGCAGGCAATCAGACTAGTGCTACTTAGTGCACATTTTTCATAAATAATGTGAAATCAAAGAAAGTAATTCATTCTTAAGAATAAGATCTCCATCTCCGCTGTTTTCCATCAAGTTTTATACATCAATGTGTGCCTTGCCTTTTGATTTTCATTCTACTGGAAATGTTCTTCCTCCAAGTTTCCCCAACACTCAAATCCTAACTACTCGCCCGCACTCAAGTCAAACCTATCTCCTCGAAATGGTCTTCCTCATTCCTCGCTAGGTGGACAATGTTCTTCCTTTCACAGCACGTGCTGTGGTTTGGCCGAGACTGCTTGCTACTGTGTATTCTAATAACCCGAGTCCCTATCTCTCCTCCTATTACTTATTCTACCTGAGGATGGGCTCAATTTCCATTTACTCTTTATCCTTCTCTCAGCTCTACAACCATGCTCTGTATGTAGAGACATTCGATCGACAACTGTGGAAGACACAGTAAAAGGGCATACTGTAGTTAACTACTTACTATATGGTTCTTTAAGCAGTGCAGGGGGTGAGAGCTTGATAAAATAGTCAAGAACACACAACATTAACTGAAATGAGATCACAAGATCATCTTCCATTTGCAATACTTCCCCTGAAAATAAAAAAAATTTACATTGGTAAGTAAGATCTTTACATATGGAAAAATTGTAGGTATAGGTGGTACATACATATACTCATTCATTCAACAATGGGTAATGACATGTTAAAGATTTTTATACCCCAAAAATTAATATATAAAAATATAAATATAAACTATATAAACGAATGAATTTTTAACTGAACTACAACTAAAATTCATGAGAATTTACATTGAAGTCAGTACCACGGGTACTGACTTAGGAACCCTGGTGGCACAATGGTTACGCTGTCAGCTGCTAACCGAAAGTGCAAACCCACCAGCCGCTACAATGGGGACCTACTCCCATAAAGATCAACAGTTAGGACGCTCAATAGGGCAGTTCTACTCTGTCACACAGGGTTACTATAAGTTGAAATAAACTCAGCAGCACACAACATGTCTATATTTACTGTTTTTTACAATGTTTCTTGTTGAAAATATATACAGCAAAATAAACACCAATTCAACGATTTGCACATGCACTATTCTATGACAATGACTACATTTGGTAGAATGGGACAAGTGAAAAACTAAAGCTACCTTTCTGACAAAGGTTCTGATAAACTGCATTTAATGAAGGTACAATCTGAATCCCAACACAATTCTACTGTGGACTAGCATAGAACTGTTCTGTTTCCAAGCCCATTCGAATAAAGGCCTTACAACAAAGGCTCACATCACTCTGATAAATCCTCTACTTTCTCCCTCACTCTTTCTGAAAGCACTGTAATCAAAAAGGACACCCTCACACTGACGCTATCTAGAGAACACAGTCACAGAATAATTACCAGTGGGTTTTTTAAAGTCCATTAAGAATTCATTATCTTTTAATTTATCCACGAACTTTATGAAGCCCCCTTATATAACCCAGAGAACAGATGCCGGGCTGAGGTTGCTCACACAAAGTCCCAGCAATGTGGGTGTAAAAAGAACAGCAATCATGGAAGTACATTTGAGAAACACAGAACCCAAATAATCACAACAAAACAGAATCTAAATGTTTCCTAAAATATTTATCTAAAATGATGGAAAAAGATTATGAAATGAACAAAAAGTTTTTAACTTTGTTTTCACTGGAAGTAAGAGTTACATCTAAAAATGGCTTGAGATAGAAATGGTAAGTACATAAGAAAAAGACAGGATTGGAATAATATGAGAATAAGATAGTTATTGTTCCTGAAACAGAATAACCTAATACAATTTAACGTGGTTATTGTGCATGAATTCCAACTCACAGCAACACTGTATGACACAGTGAAACTCACTGCCCATTAGTTTTCTAGGCTTTAAAAAAGTCCTGGTAGTGTAACAGTTAAAGTGCTCAGCTTCCAACCAAAAGGTTGCCAGTTCAAACCACCCCGCCCCTCACGGTACTGTAGGTGGTACATACATACACTCCTGCATTCAACAATGGTTAATGACGTTACAGATTTTCTGTTGTGTATCCATCCTGTGGACTCGAGCTTAACTATTGTGTCCCTGGGGGTTCCATATATTTTCTGAAATGATTAGAAGAAATTCTAAACTTAAAATACTCTATTTGATGACTCCTTCAGGACCAGTGGTGAGAGGGGCAATGCCTGGAGGGTGAAGGGAATGTGGGGTAGAAAGGGGGAACCAATTACAAGACTCTAAGTAGTGCCTCCTCCCTGGGGGATGGACGGCAGAGAAGGGGGGAGGGAAACATCGGACAGGGTAACTTATGACAAAACTATAGTAATTTATGAACTATGAAGGGTTCATGAGGGAGGGGGGAATAGGGAGGGAGGGGGGAAATGAGCAACTGATATTAGGGGCTAGAGCGGGAAGCAAATGTTTTGGGAATGATGAGGGCAACAAATGTGCATATGTGCTTGACACAATGGATGGATGTATGGATTGTGATGAGAATTGTACGAGCCCCCAATAAAATAATTTGGAAAAAAAAAATAATACTCTATTTGAAGAAAAACTGACATAGAATGATACAATCCAAAAGTTATCCTGGTTAAATTATTGAACTGCAAATTTTAAAATAATAATAATTCTTCAGGTATTCAGGAAGGAGAAGGGGTAGGGCAGGAATTAAATTAGCCTCAGGTTTCTCAACAGAAATGTTCAATGCCAAAAAATAGTGCCCTAAGGCAAACAAAACATGGCCAAGAGGAGGATGTGTAACAAAATGTTTATCTAAGAATCAGATACACAGCCAAGTTCTGTTCAGTATACAACCTTTCAGTATGACTTTTTACTACATCAAACATCAAAGCACCTTTTTTAAAAAACAGCCAGTTAAGAGATAACTTTTTAAAAATCAGAAATAAACTCAATTATAAAGAAACAATGATTAGCGACCATTTAAAACAGAATTCCAAGCAAAAAATAGGATAATAAGTACAAATACGGAATATTAATGTTTGATCTTTGCTAATGTATAAATAAAATTAAAACATCTGAACATGCGGCAGGAAGTGTAAGAGTACTAATATTCTCTTTCTTTAGAGAAGACACACGTATTCTCAGTGTTTCCAAAAGTGGCCTACACTGCCCCCTGGGGGCCACTGATCAATACAGGGGAGCCGCAGAAGCAGACAGCTCTATTTATCTTGAATTATGAACTACACTACAAAAGTTTTAAATTGCCAGAGGGGCGCTCAGTAACTTTGTTCTGAAAAGGAGGGTGTTAGGTCAAGTTAAGTTTGGGAATCTATGATATATACTGCTTTAAAACAAAGTTAAATAAAATAAGATTCAAACTTCTTAACATTTTCATAATCTTAAAGAGAAATAATTTAGGAAACAATCCCTCTGAAGAAGATAAAACTTAAACTAAACTTACTCAGTTGCTTTCATTTCTCTTGTTTCTTTTTTTGGGCAAAATTCAAGTAATTGTTTTTTGAATACAATATGGTTCTATGTTTTTAAGATTATCTGTCTCTACACCCAATTTACCCACCTTTTAACAGAATGTCATTATATTCTACTAAAGATTAAAACATCTCTTTTTTTTTAAGTGTTTTTTTTTAATCATTTTATTGGGGGTGTTTACATTCAATGTATCAAGCATATTTGTACATATGTTGCCATCATTTCCAAAACATTTTCTACTTAAGCTCTTGGTATAAGCTCCTTTTTTCCCCTCCAACCCTTGTGAATCCTTATCAATTATATATTATTATTTTTTATCTTACACTGTCCATTTTCTCCCATCAACCACATTTCTGTTATTCGTCCCCTTTGGGGGGGGGCATCTATATATCCAATCTTGTGATGGGCTCCCCCCTTTTCTTCCTTCCCCTTCCCAACCATCCCTCTCCCCTCCTGATATCGCTACTCCCACTACCATTCCTGAGGGGTTTATCTGTCCTGAATTCCATGTGTGGAGAGCTCTTATCTGTACCAGTGTGTGTTCTCCAGTCTAGCCAGATTTGTAAGGTACAACTGGGTCATGGTAGTGGGGGAGAGGAAGCATTCATGAACTAGAGGAATGGTGTGTGTTTCGTGAATCATCCCTTCCCTATAATCCTACTGTGGGGGGATTCACTTGTCTACAGCTGGGCTTTGGGTCTGCACTCCAACCCCCCCTCATTTGCATCGATATAGTTGTTTGTTTTGGATCTATTGATGCCTGATGCCTAATCCCATCGACACCTCCTGATCACAGAGGCTGGTGTTCTTCTTCCATGTGGGTTTCTTTGCTTCCCTGTTAGATGACTGCTTGTTTAACTTCATGCCTTTAAGACCCCAAACGCTATTATCTTTTGAAAGCCAGGCACCTTCTACTCTCTTTATATTTGCTTATGTACCCATCATTTCGTCTTCATTGATGGTGCAGGGAAGGTGAGTATCAAAGAGTGCCAGGTTATTAGAACAAAGTGTTCTTTTGTTAAGGGTGGCCTTGAGTAGAGGCCCAAAGTCCGTTTGCTATCTTAAGAATTAACATGTAAATATATGTACATTGGCCTCTATCCCTTTCATTATAATTTAATATATTTACACATATACATGCTTATAGCTATACCTCTATAAATTAGCTTTTGCCTCCTTTTCTTTCTTCTATTTCCTTTCACCTTCCTCCTATCCCACTATCATGCTCACCCTCCATTCAGCTATCAAAAATTCCTCTCGGATACATTGTACTTGATTAAACCCCACCAGGCATTATACACCCTCCTCACTGTCAATTTTAGATCTCTTGTTGTTCCCATATCCCTGAGTTTTTTGGCTCCACACTCCCCCTCTCTGTCCCCTCCTCGTCCATGTCCCCCTGCAACCGAGGGTCCTATTGTTTTCTCCTCGGGATTGTTCAGCCTGCCTATCTCATAGAGATAGACATAGGGTGAAAGAAAAACAGAACAAGGTAGTCCCAGGTCTCTCAGCTGATCCTTATTTATACAGGTATTTTAGGTAATTTTCCACTATTTCTTTGCTCTTTGCTATATTTTGTGAATTATTTACCATAAGCATGTATCAGTTTTATTTTTAAGCAATGTCCTCAATCTAAAAGTTTAGAAATGAAGGGAGAAAAGGTGAATAGATACTAGAAACAGAAATTAAATGAGACATTTCCGAAGTTTCCCCCATTATCAGAACTTAGCGGCAGTTAACAAGAGCACTGGAAGAAAGGGGATAAGAAAGGAGGAGGGATGCACATACATAAAACTGAATTAAAAGTTTGGGCCTTGGTCCAAAGAATGATTCATTAATTTTTATATTTGGCACCTTAGCATAAAATAAACATGAATTTACCTTTAGCTAGTAAAAATGTGATCCAAGAAAGTTTTAGCACCAACACAGAATTCATTTCCGAAGATGCCCTAATAAGCAAGTTGACACAAAGGAAAGGGAGTAGAGGGGAGAACAATTAGCACTGATGGAGCAGTCTACAAATGTACTGAATTAACACTGATGGAACAGTCTACAAATGTACTGAATTAACTGCACCGTAGAACGTGGTCCATTTAAAGGCATACTTTATATTCAAGCCCAGCTTGACTCAATTCACGTAGTATTTCTACCCAAGGAACTATATTTGGGGCTAGAATACAGTTTGCTAAGGCAATATTATGAGTATCTCAATTCTAAACCCAAATCTAATTTAATCCAAAAGTATATGCAATAATGTACTTAATTTACAATTAATTTAATAATTTGTGATGTATTATAATTAAAATCCACACATGGGAGCAGAAAAAATAAAAGTATGGGTGATTCTAGATTACCAATTTATCAGACTGCCTGGAAAAACCCTTTATCCAAAGACATTCAATTGTCAGAATTAATAGTTTTTTATTAATTAAACAATAATATAATTGAGGTTTTTCTGTGTTTTGTTATTGCTGTTGGGGCTTTATATTATTTTTGGAGGTATGATTTTCTTTATATGAAATCCAGGATGGGTAAATCTATAGAGATTTATAGTTTACATAATTTACATAATCTATAGCTTATATATGATTGTTTCTTAGGGTTATGGCAGGGGAAGTGAGGGGACCTTATAAAGAGTACAAAAATGAACAAAATGTTCTAAAATTGATTGCAATGATGACTGCACAAATCTTTTAAATATATTCAAACCACTGAATTGTATGGTATATGAATTATGTCAATAAAACTGTTAAAAATAATAATATATAGTTTCCCTTTACACTATTAATTCAGTAAGGCAGAAAATCTCATCTACAACACAATACTGTTAGAGCATGGATTTTACATTCTAAAAAATATTTTAATTTTTTAAAATATTGACCTTCAAATTTATTCATACATAAAATTATGAACTCTTAGTTAATAATGTCTTTAATATACACACAATAAACATTAAGACAATAATTGAGCATTTTTCCCTGAGTTGGTGTTTTGTTGCTCTAAATCAACTTCTGTTTTTTACCTATCTTGTATTCTGGGAATTCATTGCATACAATTTCCTTTATGAGGGGATAAACAATCTTAGGGCTTAAATCTATAAATTATTAAATAGCATGCAATAATCAAACTAATTGGGGCATCATCAATGTTTGAGATTATTAAAAAAAACACCTATGTAGACTACTTCTCATTGAAATATATAAAGGTGAAAATAACATGCATTGAACCACTTACGAACTGCTGGGTTGTGTCCAATATATAAGTTCACATGTTCTGGGAAAAAAGAAATAAATTAACATTAGTTGTTGTTTTAAATTTTTTCACAATTTCAAAAAATGATATTAAGAAAACAACTTCATTTCCAGTAATATTTAAAAGAATAAAATATACAGGAATAAATTAAGCCAGAAGTATGAAAGACGCTGAGCTAGTTTATTGCGCCAACTTGGTCAATAAGCACATGTGGGGTTAATTGAAGGGTGTCGAGAGATAAATGGCTCGATGAGCCTCTCCCTTCCAGTTCTCGGGTCTCTTGCTTTCTGATGGTCCGACCAGGGTGCAGCTGCCTTAGCCAGTTCCCTGTTTCAGCGTGCAAGGCTGACTTCCTGTAAGACATCCGTGAGAAGCCACATGGACCTACCCCGATGCAGCCCTGGGTGCTGGAGCAACCATATGGAGATCCCTGCCAGTGCTGAGATGCTTACACGTTCACTGACTCGGCTTTCCTCCTGCAGTTGGCATCATTGTGTGTGTTTTGTGAGATGGAGGAGGACTTTGTGGATTGGTGTCGGACATATGGGCTAATGTTGGACTTGTGGGCTTGGGCAGCACTGGGTGGGGATGTTTTATTGATGTGCATTTAACCTTTATGTAAAATGCTCTCTTACACATGAGTTTCTATGGATTTGTTTTTCTAATGTACCCAGACTAACACATATGTATACAATAAAAATTAAAGAACACTGCTAAGAAACAAGAAAATCTAAATAGATGGAAACATAGTCCATGCTCATGAGTTGGAAGACTTAATATGAGGGGCTTCAAAATGTTCGAGGGAAATTCCATTTTGATTTAATTCAATTTTTCCATGAACTTTTGGAAGCCTTTCATCCAATTCAGCATAACTAAATTCCAGCCCAGGTGGATGCAGTTGAGATACAGGGCTCTCTCCCTCCACAATCCCCAGCCTATGTATAAGGATACACAGATACACACTCTCACTCTCTCTCTCTCTCTCTGAGTTCTCTACAGCTATATCTCCTGGGGAAAACAGGCTGCAAACATTTCTCATCCCACCTGATTCATGCTGCACATCTATTCAAGCCAAGAGGCGCTAAGGGGTCTGGGGCTCCCTTATTCCACTTTCCTCCCATTTGCAGGGTTGAAGCGCTACCCCACACACAGTAGGCTGATAAAATTGGGACCCCAATAGCCTTTGCCCCATTTCACGCATAGGGCAGTGACTCCATGCCAAAAGAAGCAATCCAAGAAAACCGTGCCCAGCAGCTCACTCTTAAAGCACAAATGTCACTCTAAGAGACCCACTAGGATACTTCTCCCACCCTATCTCCTGGGCAGCAGCACAAAATTGTCACCCGGGGGAGAGGCGGACATTAAAAACAGAAACCTCTGACGTTCTACCCAAGAAAATTATTAATTTGCTACAGAGTGTGGGAAGTTGAAGTCTAAGGAAGTTTGGGGTGGCAAGTAATCAAGAGGAGGCTGGCAGTACCACAAAAGCAACAAGCTCAACCCTAAATCGTCTAGAAATTTAACAGAGAGAACCAAGGAAGGGCACAGCTGAGATGAACGCTCCAGGGGTCAGAACAAGCTTCAAAGACTACCCACGCAAGAAAGTAAAACTGTGCTAGATCAGACTGCTGGAAACAACAGAGCAATCAGTTTTCAATTACTGAAAACGATACAGCAACTGGGTGTTACATTACCCAGCGCTGATAGCATGACAGAAACTAAGAAAACATGCAAAGACAGTCCTGCTAAAACCACTGTCCCCTCAGGAGCTGCACAATGTGGGGGAAACAAGTTTTGCTAAAGCCGGCCAGCCATGTCACTAGACACAGAAACAAGAAAATAACAATAGATAACAAGCAACACATACACATCGCAACAAACACAGTAACAAGTACATAATAACAATAGGGATGAGAATCAGTACCCAAAGTTGCTACAATATCTTAACTAAAATGTCAAGTTTTCAACAACAAAAATATTAAATATGAGAGTAACAGCTAAGCAAATGGGGGGGGGGGGGTGCGCGTGATGTGACAAAAGAGCCCAGATGTTGGATTTAACAAAAACTTCAGAGCATTTATGAATGATAAATAATTGCTACTATAAATAATCCACTGAAACCATGTCAATTCCAACTCATAGCAGCCTTAGAAGGGTTTCAGAGACTGGAGCTCTTTACTGGAGCAGCCTTCTCTCTTATGTCCTGCAGTGGCTGAAGGTCTTCAACTGCTGACTCCACAGTACCCTGATGCCTAACCCGCAGCATCACCAGGGCTCCTTACCATAAATACGTTCAAAGCTTCAAGGAAATCATGCATAAAGAAGTACGATGACAAAGAATCATGAAATAGAGAATGCCAATAAAGTGATAGAAATTAGAAAAAAGAACAAATGGGAATTTTAGACTTAGAAAACCACAGTAACAGAAATGGAAGGTTCACAAGTGGGGCTCCACAAGAGATCTGGTCTGGCAGAAAAAGAATAATAAAAATTTACATTAGTTCAATAAAGATTAGGCCATCTATGGAACGAAGAGAAAAATAAAAACAAGCAGAGCACCCCATAAATGTGGGTGCAATTATGTATATAATGAGAGTGGCAGAAAGAGACGGGGAAAGAGTAAAAAGCAAGTTATCTGGAGAAATATTGTATTTTGCAATACAATGCTCTCTCACACATGAGTAAAATGACGTAATGACATAAATGTAATGACATAAATGACATGCATACTCATACAGTGTACAGAGAGCTCAGTGGAGACTAACATGGGAGGAGTTTTTGTGGTTTACAGAAAATATAGAGAGCATATGTTATTTCCATAAAAGGTGACAATGGCTAAAAACTTCCCAAAGCTGATGAAAAACTTAATATAAACACACAAGATCTTAACGAACGGTAAAGGCAAAGAGAGTCACACGCAGACACAGTAAAAGCATTGAAACATAAAGATGGCAATCTTGAAAGTAGCCAGAAAAAACTGACAACACTTACAACGAGACTACACTAAGATTAACAGCAAAGCTGTTTTAGTGTGAAGAAATGACACAACACGGTAACTGGAACCCACAGGAACAAATAAAGAGAACAAGAAATAGTAAATAAGATTAATATAGTGAAGCCGATAACTATACTTGCTCTTCTTTATACTATTAATTTCTTTAAAAGATATACACAGGGCTTCAAACTGGTTCTTCCCAGTTCAGTCATGGCTAATGCAGCAAAATCAGAATGGATCTGAATTTGTAAAATGTGGGAGGTTCCAGAATAATAATGGAAATGGGAAAAATTATGGCTCAAGCCTCTGCCAGAAATGCACTTTCTCTCCTAGAAAACGCGGCAGCAATACATTGCACAGCAACTAAGGCTCCTGACGGGCTGTAGTCGCACGTGTTGCTCTGAATGGGTCAGTCCCGGAGTCTTCACAGGAATCTAACAGTGAGCTCCTGAGAGAGCTCGTAGGCCTCTTCCAACCTTCCATTCCAGGGCCGTAGCCTTTCTAGCTGTAGCTCCCGTACATTCACGTTTTACACATTCACGTCTGTTTCTATTTCACTGTATCTTCATGGCCGAACCAGTCAAAGTATAACCCATGGCTATCAACTCAAGAATGAATAAATAAAATGTAGTATAACCATGCAATGAAATAATATTCAGGAATTAAAAAAAAGAATGAGGTGCATGCCACAATACAAATTAACTTGGAAAACATTAAGCTAAGTGAAAGGAAACTAGTTCAAGAGATTATAAATTGCAAGATTCCATTAATATGAAATAACCAGAAGAGGTGAATCAATAGACATAAAAAGTAGAC